GTCTCAAGTAGAGTTGAACAGTGAGGGAAAATATCTTCTTTATAAGTATAGTATTAGCTATTTGTCTGTTTGTTTTCTGTCTTTGGACGAGAAAAGAAAAAGGGTTTAATAATTTAACTGACGAGTACTCAACTTATACGATAAGTACTCATTACTTTTATTTTGGGTCGAAATTTTGACTAAATATTCACTGCTGTCTACTCCTATGTTTTGCCTTTTGCTGGAGGTATTTGGTGCTAACAGCATCGACACAGCTATGCTAGATAATCCTGAAACATTTATTAGCAAGGAATATCAGGCAGAAAATCTCTTTGTGAGACTATGGTAAGGGTCTCCGTTCCAGATCCACCATAACAGATGCATGGAAACAGGGTACTCATTCAGCGGGGACGCACCTTTACTGAATCTGTGTTTGCGCATGAGACGTGAGTTGAATATAGACTGAAAAAATTTCAGGTGTTTACCAGGATTTCATTTTGAAATGAAAAGTTTCCGGGAAGTTCTGAAAACTAGTTCTGCAACCCATTATTGAAAATATGACTCTTAATAAATCTTACTGCTCGTATGCTACAGTGTGGAGGTAGGAAGACGACCACGGAAGTCAGTCGTGCAGGTTGGGTTACGTTTCTCGCGATTCATGAAATCAATCGTTGACGTCGTTGGTTGGTACGACTGATTGCCGTTGACGGCAGTGTTATTGCATTTACACGCTTCCTAAACATTGTTTATCAGCATTCGGTATTTTCATTAGGGTCTGCTTTGGGCACTTCTGGGCTGATCGAACGCAAGCGTGGCCGAAAAACAACAATCATAACTAGCTCAGGTTAAGTGTAATCTACATAGCTGAGTGCAACCCCAATTCTAGATCGACCAAATCGTCAATTCAAACGAATTTTCATGTGTATCTTGTTAAAAACACCCAAATAACAAAAAATAGGTGAAAATGGCTATGATGCGATAACCACGCTTTATCTGAGGATATACTGTTCACAGCGCAACTGTTTCAGTAATGTTATCCCAAAGAACTCAAAAATATCTATCAAATCATGTATAAATTTATATATAAAACCTTATATTCAGCAAATTAATTAGGTGCAGTCAAACTTGACCACATGGACTGTTCGAGGATAGTAAAATTTTCTGGGAGGATGAAAAGTTTGCACCAAATCAATAGGCAATGGATGGTAATACAAGCAGTGATGTGAGTCGGCAAGGGATGTCATTGGGTATGAAATCGTGATTTTCTGAGCCACAGTAGTAATAAAGCCGTTCCATGCGATATCTGGTCATTAGTTCTACCGTGACTACAGATCCTAGAGTATCATCATGTTGTGTAGTAAATCAGCAAATAAGAATGAATAAATCCGAAAGATGTGAACGTGACCGAAATGAACGACAACCAGATCAAACGTACCAGTGAGGGCATCCACGTAGTTATGTACCTAAGGTGGTATATATAGTTAACACCAATATTCACAGGATAGGCAGTTGATACTGAAGACACCGCTCGGTTCACATACCAACATGATTAGTCTCATGTTCTGTCCAGACACCAAAAGAAAGATGTCTGATATACTAAGATCAGGTAATCCGCCAAGAATACAGGAGTTAGAACTACCATGGAATGAATGCATCGTACACTGAGATAGACCAACGAACGTATCACGTAAGACAGTACCATTGAAGGTCGTCATCAGTGCAGCTCCGTAGTTGAGTGCGACTGTAAATTAGTGTAACATGATCTAGAGCTATCGTCGCCTGTGATCTGCCAGTCTCACGTAAAACTTGCATGTGCGATAACAAGCATAATATTTTTACCATTTACTCGCATCCTCTTCCCACTTTATGACAGATTAAGTCAGGATTGTCAGTATCACGATGATGCTCCTTCGGTTCATTTTTCATGAGCAAATCACTCAGTGTGGTGCAATCAATTCGAAATGTACGTTAGTCGAAACTACATTTTTGCTCACCATTGCTTCTTCGTTGTACCTTATCTCAGAGGTAAAGAAGTAAAATGGAAGATAATACCTGACTGGATCAATAAGAACACAGCAATTCAGCAGTCAAACCTACTGCGACGTTGCTCCTCTAGAGATTTGCGCTAGCTCTTTCCTTATACAACAAATTAGGCGTTTGTGCAACAGCCATGGGAAGGATGACTAAAGATTCATAACATTGAGATAATTCACAATACAGCGTAAACACCATCGTCCGACCTAAACTTAATGTTTAGAACGCCAGCTGTTAAGTAGGCTGAAATCTTGGTTTCCCTAACCTCGTATGATTATAATAATAATAATAATAATAATAATAATAATAATAATAATAATAACGAAGTTCTTAAGCACGCATATTTCGCCTATCGTCATCGAAAAGAAACGAATGTTTCTGGCCCTATCGGGAGGCATTGGTGTTTGAAAGAGCTGTATTATTCGAACACCTCTCGACCAAAAGCGTGAGTGACATTGCATGATGAAAAGGGACAGCGGTTTTTTAGCATGCGAATGGAATACTACTCCTACGTTAGCCGTGGGCATTATTCTTCGTGATTCTTGACGAAGTATGTATGTATGAGGTTGAATACGCCGAACAGGGTCAAACATCAAAAATGCAGCAGATGTACACTGCCGTATGGTGTGAGCTTCGTCTCTGAACGATGAGAGAGGGTGAAATCGGATCATCATAATTTCAGACTCTAAAATCCCGTTTTCTTGACTGCTCTGTTAGCTGTAAAGAACAACCGGTTAGTCAAATGGACATCCCATCGTTCCCCTAAAGAAATCATAGTTTTTCCTGATTTATCTTCTAAAAGAGTAAACTTCCAGGGTGTAGTATCAGCTGTCGCATCTTCTGAATGGACAAAACCTTACCGGTAGTTTTGGTGTAAACACAGACGAGAAGCCTAGCTCAAACTGTAAGAGCAGGA